CCGCCCACTTCAGGGCCTTGGGCGCCTGTTCGCGCGAAGAGCCGCAGCCAAAACTCTTCTCGGCGACCACGATCGAGGCCCCTGCCTGTGCGCGATCATAGAACTCTGGTCGAGTGTAGCAGAATGCGCCACGGGCGACTTCTTCTTGGGTGAGGTGGGAATGGCACTTGTCGGTCGGGATGATGCTGTCTGTGTCAACATTGTCTCCGAATCGCTGCACTTTCCCTCGAATCGACTCGGGAAGCGAGGGCGCCGGCTTTTCTTCTGCAGATGATGGGGATACCTCTGCGTCGCCCTTGGTTGGCGTTGGTGCAGCGGCAAGGAGTTCCGGCTCGACGTATTGTGGTGACTCTCGTGCCTCCTGTGCACCGTATCTCCTCATGGCATCAAACTCGGCCATGTCAATCTTAGCAAGGATCTCCGAGGGATTCTGCAGTGACATGGAGAAGCTGGAGACGGCCACCGTCGCTGCAGAGGTGATGTTGGCGATGGACCCGGGGCCCATGCGATCCCTATAATTTCTGTTCTGAGAAGACAGCCACACCTCCCCCTTCCCGGCCTTGTCGACTCCCATGCCCACGCAGTAGCTGCATCCAGGCGCACCGATCTCGAACCCGGCCTGTTCGTACACCTCGAGAAGGTTTAGTTCCTTGAGGCGATTGATGATGGAATTGGACCCGGGAGTGACACGTCGTAGTCCCTGCGCCTCAGGTTTCCAGCCTTGAGACATCGCCTCCTTTAATACCAACGCAGCCAGAATCAGCTCTTCTTCCGTGGTGGTGCAGGCTCCTATGAAGACACCTTGCAGGTGTTGGAGCTGTGCCGTTGCTTCTGAGACGGGCACAACATTGTCTGGAGAAGGGTACAGCGCAATGAAGTGCTCCAGTTCGGATAGGTCCACATCATATGTTTCGGCGTACTGCGCATCGTCGTCTGGCCAGAAATAGAGGCTGTCCGATTTATGTCGTGGATCTCTTCGACGTTGGATGTACTGCATGGTGACTCCGTCGGGAACAACACAGGCGCCAATTCCGCCGAACTCGGTCGTCATGTTCGCGATGGCGAATCTGGCGTCGCATGACAGGTACTGAAGTCCTTCTCCGGTATACTCAACGAGCCGGCCAGCTGCAACGGTATTTCTGCGCAGTTTTCGCATCACCCCGAGTATAACGTCCTTGCCGCTGGTCCCAAGAGGTGGTCGGTTGATGAAGTTGATTCGGACAATCTCTGGGACCTCGAGATATGTCTCGCCAGTGACAAGCTGCAGGATCATATCGGTTGCGCCCACGCCGATTGCAAGGCTCCCTAGCGCACCAGCTGAAGACGTGTGAGAGTCGGCGCCAATAACCAGCATACCAGGCTGACACCGAGAACGATAATACTCTGTATGCATGATGGTGGTGTTGTGCCCAGCGTAGTTGTCTCCCAGGTCCATTTCCTTAGCAATTTGGTCGCACGCCTCGATCAGAGACTTCTCGTACGCCTGATGATTCACTCGTGGATCCACGACATGGTCCCCTGCCAGCCAGAACCTGTCTCTGCGCCGAATGCCAGGACGTCCCATGCGCTCGTAGTTTTTGTTCATGCCAAACCAAGCAACTTCAGACGCCAGAAACCAATCTGGAGCGATGCGGATTACGGTCCCTGGTTCCACGTACGGAGTCTCAAGGCCGAGCGCATGATGGACCAGTATTTTCTGGCAGGCAGTCATCGGCCGCCGACTGGGCTGTTGTTGCTCCATTGCACTCTCGAGATCGTTCTCGTCAGCGTAGAAGTTTGGTGACTTCAACAACCAGAGTTTTGGCCCGGCGACAACTGTGTACAACTGAAATATCGACGCCTCGCCTTCGAGTCACAAGACAAGTGGCAGTTGTGGCGCCGACTTGTCCCCCCTGTGTATACTAATTGGAAAGAACCAGCGCCGTTGAAAGTGGTTTTGTGGTGCATGCCACACCGGGCCAACTGCCGAAAACTTCAATGCCACGAACCCAGAACCCACATGGGACGGGAAGTCGGGTTCCAATGAGGCTCTTGTAGGATATGATCCTGAGCCATGCGAGTTGGAGGTATCTACTTGGAATACCCCTACCTACTTTGCACGAGTATGCATGTTGAGAAGCCCCACTGGCGAGACTCCCTCCGCTCGCTCGGTAGATCGCATGACAAGATGTAAAAAGCCCTGGAAAGACTGGTCAAGCGAGAAAGCTTTTGCCTGTCATGCGGGCGCTTGACCCATTGACCCAGTGCCAGCAATAGTCTTGTTGTCCATGTTGGAGCTACCGGCCACATTCCGGATCAGGCTCTCCGGAATTCAAGCGGCTGGGATTCTGCCCCTGGACGGCCGATCTTGCCCCGGATTCAGGAGCCCCAGACGGAAGGATCAATATAATCATCAAATGGAGCGTCGTTCCCATGTATCACATCTTGCATACTGCCCTGTCGTACCACGAGGACTGTTATCCCACAAGTCAAGATGATTAGCGAAGGACGAAACAACCGTCTCATCGACAACTGGAAATGTCTCCTCATCTGCTGTGCGGTCAGCATGGCAAACTGTCAATATGGCTTTGGTGAGAGCTTCACTTGGATGTGATGTCGGTACACGAAGCTGAACTCCATGCAGATACCGCAGCAGTTGCCGGATTCCAGGCCATGATCGGCTTCCTCGAAGTCTTCGGCTACAAGGACCCCAAGGTCAAATCGGGATGGAATATCAACACTAAGCCTCAACAGCTGATTTCAAGCTTCCTCAATGTCGGCACCATCGTCGCGGTGCTCATGGGTGGCCCCTTTGCGCATAGATTTGGTCGCAAACCAGCCATCTGGATCGCGTCCCTCATATCGATGGTGGCATGTGGTGTCCAGGTCGGAGCGAACAGTCTTGCAGGTCTCTATGCCGGAAGGATTCTCCTCGGGTTGGGAAATGGGTGGTTCATCCTGTTCTCGAATGTTGCGTGTGTCGAATACGCGCCTCCACAGCATCGAGCCATCCTGGCCTCGTTCTTCGGTTTCTGGGTGAACCTGGGGAGTATCCTCGGAGCCGTGGCCGACAACTACAGCAAAAACTTGCACAGCAGACTGGCATACCAGATTCCGCTGGCTTCGTTGTTCGCAATCCCATTCCTGCTCAGCATCTTCATGTTTTTCGTGCCCGAGTCGCCCCGATGGCTTCTCATGCACAACAGGCCAGAAGAAGCTCGTAGAGCATTGGAGCGGCTTCGGGGGAGATCGCTCAAGCCCGAGCTCATCAACGAGGAATTCATCGAGATGCAGAGAGGTATTGAGCAGGAAAAGGAGCTGGCGTCATCAGCATCGGTGCTGGACATGTTCAAGGGAACCGATCGCCGACGAACCATCTTGGCAGCAGGGGCCATCGCATCGCACGCGGCGTCTGGCGTCTGGTTCACCATCTCGTACAGCACTTTCTTCTACCAGATGGCCGGCATCGACAAGCCATTCCAAGCTACCATTCTGCAGAACTGCCTCGGACTGATCGGCGCCATGTGTGGTATGTTTCTCATGCACAAAGTCTTCGGTCGCCGCTCCATGCTTCTAATCGGCGCTGCTGGCTGCTGTATTTGCATGCTGGTTATCGGTCTGTTGAGCCTCGCTGGCCATGGAAAGAGCGCCGGTCAAGCGCTTGTGGGTTTCGCCCTCATGTTCAGCTTCTTCTACAACGGCTTCACCGGCACCATCACCTGGCCCATTGCTGGTGAACTTGTCAGCTCCCGCCTGCGAGTCTTCAGCGTCGGTCTCGGCACTGGGATCAACTACTTCTTCAACTGTGAGTTTTGCGCGCTGTAATTCGACTGACCTGGCTGACCATGAATTCGCAGGGCTGATCTCGTACTGCACACCGTATTTCCTGAACGCGAACAACCTGAACTGGGGCGCGAAGTACGGCTACATCTGGGCCGGCTCCAACGCCGTGGCATTCGGTGGGTATTCTCCGACACCCCTTGTGTGGGTTCTAAGACCTGCGGCTGACTTTGGGGATTTTTACCAGTGTTTTTCTTCCTCTTGATACCAGAGACCAAGGGCCGGTCGCTGGAGGAGATCGACGAGATGTTCATCAACAAGGTCCCGCGCAGTCAATTCAAGACGTACCAGTGCGTGTCGTCAGAGCGGGCGCGCGAAATCGCCGTCAAGGAGCTGGACGAAGTGAGCAAGAGTGGCGCAATCGTTCATGAGGAGAGGGTCTGAACCGCAACATCCCAAATTTACAAGTAGCTAGTCCATGACTCTGCAGAGGTGCCTATAGGGAGCGCCCAGTTTCAATCATATTCTTGCTCTCCTTCAACTGTCGCGGTTTTCGATAGTCTCGTCTTTTGCCCCCACTGTTTTTCCCGTGTCTGGGTTTTTGACAACTTTGTTGGAACTGTTAGTCTGACCCTTTGACTAACCACAACACTACAAGTACCGAGAACAAAACATACCGAGTACCGGATTGGAGGTGTGGGTGGCACGGGTGGGTACAACTCCGTAGGTGTAGATAGGGACAACTTCATCTTTTCGGCATCATACTTGATGTGCGCCCTCGTGGAGAATAGAATAATGTATCGGAAGTCGAAGCCCAAGGTAGTCATTGTAGGGACTAACCCATATCGGGACTTGATGCAGGGGCAGCAGCATATTATCACGTCACGCCCTCGTATCGTGGTCCGTCGTTTGTGCCAAGAAGCATCCAGTAGGTGCTAGGTAATTAGACGAAGTGCGTCCGCTAGCATCTGTTGTATTTTTTGGGGGGTTCAGCCTGTCATCAGCCCTGTCTTGTACAGCGCACTGATCTCGACGTGCACTTTCCAGCCCAGAGAATGTGCCCACATTGTCAATCATCACCATGGGTCATTCAGCTAACTGAGGTCACCATACCACCACCCTCACTGGGAGGGCGACCTCTGGCCAACATATTTCCGTAGACCTCTCAGAGCACTGCTCTCGTCTGTCCTATTCTCTTTTCCTCTTTCGTAGTCCTGCTGTCTGGGTAGGGTTTGAAACCCCTACTCTCCTTCTCCTTCTTCCTCGTCGGCACTAGCAGAAGGTGTATTGACCCCTTCATCCTTCTCATAGTCTTCGTCGTTAAAATCAGAATCCTCGGCTTCTCTCATGTAGTCTTCATGATCTAGCAACGATTCGCCTTCCTCGTCACTATCACTCCATTCGGCAATTTGAATGATTCTTCTGACCTTGTTCCTGGTAGTCCACACTGCCCCGTAGAGCGCGATATACCTGCTCATCATCTCTTCTGCGCTTTCATCATTGGGCTCTAAGTTGATTCGGGTTATTTCGTTCATCAGATGCTTCCGGTCCTTCTTTGGCATCTGACTTCCCCCGTGGCCAAGGTCCTCCTCACTCTCCAGCTCGCCTTTGGCGGCCATTTGCGCGATCTGTTCAAAGCTCGGAGGTGGGTCAAAAATGCTGGAGTCCACTTCGGGCATTGCTAGAAGGCACACATTGGCCAGAGTCATAATGACCACGGGTCATTCCCACTCACGCTCCGCACTCTGTGGATTCATCGGCCTTCACTCTTCTGGATGTGCCTGCCTCTTGTCAGACATACACAGTTCCAGCTCCTGAGTCTTTGATTTGATCGTATATACCCAAGATTCTTCACCGCGATCCTGTTTCCGTGTGACGATGTCGTAAATCTCCCTGATCAGTTTCCTTGCCGCTGGAGGTAGCTCAGCGTTTTCTTCAGGCTTGCTGAGCTTTGGCCTCAACATCCAATCACGAAGAACTTCCGAGAGTCTGGTTGCATCCCGTTTCAATTCAGCAGTATAGTCCTTGGCGCCTCAAGTAGTCGCAGGGCGTTCTTCAGATTGTGGAACGAGTTGTCCATATCATTCAGAATTTGAGTCATGATACTCAAGTCTGATGCTTCGAGACCCTGCCGTTCGAAACGCGGTTGGTCTTTCGATGACGTTGCGCTCGTTGTCTCCATGGCGAGTACGTTGTGGCTGTCGTTGAGTTTACTTGAAGAAACAGAAGTTGACTGGAATGGTGAGAAGCAAGGATGGGAAATGAAAGTGAGACTGAAGAGAGTGGTCGATGGGAACTTTATAGTGGTAATAATTAGTTGCCAGTCGACCCTTGAATTTCGTTATGAAGCCATCTGATCCCTACAACCGCTATGGCAATGTCTGATCTCATCGACCCAAGCTTGAAGATGGATTCATTGATCTAGAATACACGACCATTCGCGTGTAGCCCCCTCGTTTGTTCTTGGAAGTCTAGCGACTGATGGTTACCTCAGCTCTTTGCCTCTAGCCATGAACTGCATTGTGTTTCTTGCCCACATTTCCATGGCCGTTTCCCAGTTCCACTTGTAACCACCATATCTCTGGAGTTCGCTAGCTTCACCTCGCAGAAGCCCTGAAATATCTGCATCCAAACACCATGAGTCTTCTTAGCTTATCCTCCAAGTCTCAACTAGCTCCAAGTGCTTTGTCCGTCCGCATCATGCTTTGCCCTCAAATTTACCCTGTCGCCGCAACGGGTAGATTCTAATGAACCCTTACGAAGTCAAGCTCGAACCTCACTTAGGAGTCTGTTTCCCTTTGCGCAGCTCCACCAATACCTTCTCCATCAACTCTGCACGAACCTTCAATGGCTCAATTACAGCCGCGGGCATCCCCTGGAGCGTTGCGCTCGCGACGTGGCGACATCTCTGCTGTAGTAACGCTCTGGCCGAATCAGTGTCCCACGCATCCCCATATCGAGCCCAGATCGCCGCAGTATCGTGGTCAGTAGTGAGCTTGTGACCCATGCTGTCAATCATCCGTTTGCTGTAGTCGTCCCACACCCTTAATATCTCTCTCAAATTACCCGAGAATGATTCCAGAAAGAACACTAGGTCCTGGGGTTCGTCTTCGCTTAGAATGGCCGCTGATGGTTGAAGCGCTGATGGCATGAGTCGCCGGATCGTTGTCATGATATGCTCTATCAAGTTCAATGCGTCGAGCTCCTCGTGATCTGACCGTATAGTATCCAGCTGAAAGCATCCCTCTGCTAGTAGAGCATACCGTACCAGAGCACCATAAGCACAACACCAACTATCCACGGCTGAGAAGCATCAAATATTGACATACTCAAAGCCACCGTCTGTCTTTTTGCGTTTGTCTCGCATCATGGTCATCCAATGTTCAGTTTTAATGTCGCCATTCTAGCATTTCCACAGTCTTATTTCTGTCACTATTCCAGACAATGGTCCGAGTAGCTGGAACCAGAAAATACCGTCGCAAAAGTGTATATGTAAGGAGGGGGAAAGTTCTATTCAATCCAACGTGGGAAGATTGCCAACAAAGGCTAGATAGTTTTCTAAGTGCTAATAGTATCATAGAATTCATATGGGTGAGGTGTGGTCTGCTCCGAGGTCTTTCCGAACAAACCCCCACTAAACGATCTCGTGCCTCGGCGCTACTTACATGTCATGACACATTTTACTTCCCACAAAGCAACTGTCGTCAACGCGCAACGGTCGAGATGACGGATGATCATCTCCAAAGTGACGCTCCCAGGACGTCGGACTCGTACTATGATCTGTCAGCTTTCAGCCGACCTGTGAGCACAAATAACAAACAAGCCCAACTCTGGTTTAATCGAGGTCTAGTGTGGAGTTACGCCTTCAACCATGAGGAATCAGCTGAATGTTTCCGAAAGGCCATCGCCTTGGATCCTAACTGTACCATGGCCTACTGGGGCCTGGCATATGCCCTGGGTCCCAACTACAACAAACCATGGGAGTTTTTTGACGGAGAGGAGCTCGAATCCACCGTGACCCGAACGCATGCTGCTGTGCAGAAAGCAAAGAATGAAGCCATCAATGCCACGCCCGTCGAGAAGGCCTTGGTAGATGCACTCGAGTTTCGATATCCGCTCCCACACGCTGCCGCTGACTGCTCCATCTGGAATCGACCCTACGCGGATGCTATGCGATCGGTGTACGAAGCATTCAGTGATGACCTTGACGTGTCAGTGCTCTACGCTGATGCCCTGATGAATCTAACACCCTGGAAACTCTGGGACTTGTCTACCGGACAGCCAGCGACTGGCTCGAGGACGCTAGAAGTCAAGGCTGTCCTCGATCACGCCTTGGCTGTGAAGGGTGGATTACAGCATCCTGGTGTCTTACACCTCTACATACATCTGATGGAAATGTCCAGCACCCCTGAGCTTGCGATGCCCATTGCAGACCACTTAAGAGGGTTGATACCTGATGCTGGCCACTTGCAACATATGCCTACCCACCTTGACATACTTTGCGGCGACTACCGCAGAGCGATCGCTTCGAATATGGATGCGATTCGCGCGGATGAGAAGTTTTTGGCGCGAGCCGGTCCGCTGAACTTCTACAGCCTCTATCGATGTCACGATTACCATTTTCGCCTTTACGCTGCAATGTTTGCTGGTCAGTCAAAGATTGCACTGCAAACTGCCGACTGGCTCGAAGCAACAGTTCCAGAGGACCTCCTTCGCGTTAAGTCCCCGCCAATGGCCGACTGGCTCGAAGCCTTCCATGGCATGCGTGTGCATGCGCTCATTCGCTTCGGCATGTGGCAGGAAATCCTTAACTTACCTCTACCCAAAGATCAAGAGCTTTACTGTGTGACAACGGCTTTGATTCACTATGCAAAGGGTGTCGCGTCGGCAGCTACGGGGAATGTAGAAGAAGCAGAGAATCAACGCACCCTCTTCAACGAAGCAGTTTCGCGGGTTAAGTCCACCCGAACGCTGTTCAACAACACCTGCCTGGATATTCTTGCCATCGCCCGATCAATGTTGGACGGTGAATTGGAATACCGACAGCGAAACTTCGATGTCGCATTTGACCATCTCCGTAAAGCCATTGCTCTCGATGATGCACTGCCATATGACGAGCCTTGGGGGTGGATGCAGCCGCCCCGACATGCTTACGGTGCCCTCCTCTTGGAACAAGGCCACACCGAGCTGGCCGCTGCGGTGTATAGTGCAGATCTGGGATTCGACGACACGCTTCCTCGAGCTCTTCGCCATCCAAACAATGTCTGGGCACTCCGTGGGTATTTTGAATGTCTGATGAAGCTGGGCCGTATAGCAGAAGCTCGACTTATTCGACCCCAGCTGGCGCATGCGACTGCCATGGCAGATGTGCCTATCAAATTCTCATGCTTTTGCCGGACAGACCATGCTAGCCGGTCGACGCGAGAGCCTTCTGCGTGACGGGGCAGCGGAGTTGGACATGTTCATCAGGCACAAGACATCTTCTTTGTGGACCATGGTTGGTATATGGGTCGTTAGGCACCTACCCACAATATGTTCGGCGGCATTACACTAAGCTGGTGAATAAGGTTGCTGTCAGTCACACCCAGGCATTGAGCATCTCTAGGGGCCGGGCTACTTGAGACACACTGACAACGCCGACGCTGAGAGTTGTCGTGTAGGCCTGCGTTAAAACCACGTTGGGATTTGAATTGGCAGACATCGTTGAGCTGACTCTGGACTGTCTCTCCTCAATACTGGGTACGAGATCTGGCTCATCATGCCGATGCTGATGGGAACATATTGAGTTATCCACTGACGGTATATGGGTAAACGTTCTGGGTGTCGCTGACTTCGGCTCATGAAAGAAAATGCAAAAACCTAGGCTTACTTGTAATCTTGTGCCGCTCTTCTGGGCAAGCTGCTGATACCTTCCTTTGAAGCTGGGGGTATTTCCGGATGGCTCCTAAGCCAATACCAGGGGCCCCTTGCGTTCTGGAGTTTGCGGCAAGGGGCGGCTGCTCAGGGCTGGCCATACATAGGCTCGCTTACTTGCAGGTGAGAATGATTGGGCACGGGACCCTGGGGTGGCCAAGCTGATGCCCACAAAGTTTTCGTGGGGGGTTTTCTCCGCATCCATCCACTGACTGGGTGCTAACTGGTGCCTCGACGGCCCTAGATGGGCCTGGTGCCCTGTCAAACGAGCCCTATTCGCCCGCTCCCACACCTGCCTGTGAGGACTCCGCGTGGTTCGGGCTGTTGTCGCCGCTGTGTCCGCCGCCGCAGCACTTATCTAAGCCGTTAACCCCTCCCCCCAAAAATTCCCCCGATCCATCATCCTCTCTAGTCGCGGGAAACTCGAAACCGCAGCCATGGAAAACTTCCACGACTTGATCAGGAGCCAGGCGCTCCTCTCCTCAGCGTGCGCTAAACAAACAGCAACACCTTCCAGCGCGTCCAGCGCTCCAGAGAAGCGGTACCGATGTATAGACTGTGGGCAAGGCTTCTCGCGCGCTGAACACTTGAAGCGCCATCAAACTCGACGTGAGTTGCCACTGAACGCCTGCTCAACGCTGCTGACGTCCCTTGTACAGACACCGGAGCCAAACCGTTCTCTTGCGTTTTCTGTTCTCGAGACTTCTCACGGAAGTACGATATTTGTGCCTTGTCCGTTCCTCGAAATCGTCCCACTGATGCCGGAGGCAGAGATCGATTACAAACCCATTATAGCCACTGTCAACGGCGAGGAGACCGAGATGTCCCCAGCTCGATTCCCAAAGGCCGAAGACCGCATGCCTGTGTGACGGTGACTACACTATTGACACCACGACAGACATGCATTTTGCTGACCTTGACCAAGTGCATTTCGTCCAAGATTCGCTGCGACGGAGGCAGTCCTTGTGCGCCGTGCAAGAAGAAACAAGTTGCCTGCCGTCAAAAGCACTCCCTTCGCGAAAGTTCAAGTAGGACATTCCAACCTTCTGCACGGAAAGACAGGGACTGGCGGTGATGCTGACTACCCTTCCAGTTGCCGAAGAATTAGGCCCGTTAGGCGACCGCGTATCCATTCAAGCGCTTCTGAACGGTGGTACCGACACCTTCACAGAAACGTTTAATCTTCCCCCTTGCGATGATCGACAAAGAGGACTGCAGTTTCATCAACAACACGAAGAAGGAGAGGATGAAGAGACCGATACCGTGGCCCCAAAATCAGAGGTTGAAAGTCCAGCTACTTTTGACTTCTCCGGGATGTTCCAAATACCTATGGGGTTTGACGATCAGTACCTCGACTTTTGGACAGGGCCTTTCGGACTGACCCAGTCACCTTCCTATACTGATTTGCAGCTGGAAGTTTACGATCCGTCCATTATATCCCCAGAGGCTCAGATTAGCTCCACACCTTCTAGCTCGACGCAGCAACCTTCGGATCAGGCGCAATATGTTTCAGCACTGAATATGGCAATTTATAACAAACTATGGTGCCTGGCCCTGGATGAAAAATCTCGCCAGGAATTGACTGCATGCCTGAATTTCTTACTAACCTCAGAGAAAATCCGCAAGTTCATCTCCCTTTACTTTCGTAATTGGCACCTGAACTGTCCCATCATACATCGACCGTCATTCGACCCCGGCAAAGTCCCAGTCGGTTTAGTTATCAGTGTGGTCTTTATTGGCGCCATGTACTCGAAAGATCAGACAGAAAGGCTAGCTGCGAAGAGACTGGTCGATGTTGCGGAATTGGTGGTTTTCGACTCGGAAATTTTCTCCTTCGAAGCTGAAGTCACTCGATCCATACAAAGCGACTACCTACAAGCGCCTTCAGACACTCTTCAGCAGGACCATGACTGGGAGGTTTTTCAAGAGCTTCAGGCTGGCTACTTGATGGTTGTTGCCCAGTATTGGGGCGGATCCCGAGGGTCCAAACGAAGGGCAATGCAATCTCGGCTCGGAGATGTCATTAATGTCGCTCGAAGCATGCAGTTACATCATGCTCGTCATCGGCCGTCTGATCGCATTTCGGAAGTCGCTTGGCTACAAAAAGAGACAAAGATCCGGTATGTGCTTGGATCTTTCTGCTTAGCCTTTACTAAACGCGTCTATGCAGCACCATCTCCGTCATTGCATTGCTGGATTGCGCCATGAGAATCTACTCAAACTATCCATGCCGCATAACCCTTGGCGAACTCGATAATGATCTTCCCTGTAAAGAGGCCATCTTCAGCTCACGACACCCTTTCATGCAGGACGACTCGATCTTTGCACCACGATTGACCATGTCTCAAGCCTTCGCTCTTCTGTTTGACGGAAAAGCAAGGACTTCTGATTCAGCAAAAGAGTCGATGCTAGTTGCAGACGAATCTGAAAACGGAACGACCTTGGAAGAGACAGAAGGCAATTGCAATCTCACCATCTTTGACCTGTTCATTCTCATCCATTGTAAGTTCCTTATTTACTCCATTTAACTGCACTATCGTCTCTGTCACTAGCCAACATCTAGTATGTCATCTCAACTGACCTGTTCATCAGTTTTGTACACATACGTACATTCCTGTGTAATGACCATGTCACTTAACCTACCCACGACCAATTTTGGTCGCCGGATCAATGGGGCAAAGACTTCCAATTTCGCCGTTAGCTCCATGGGTCAAGATATCAAAGGCGCTTTGGACAGATGGCGCCGACTGTGGGAAGTTCTTTGCTCACAAACGTCAGATAAATCCCTGAAAGCTGAAGGCATGTACCGCAATGCTCTTCACTTCTGGATCGTCCTTCAATCTATCATGGCCAAAGAGGAGGCAGTCGATGTTATCACCAGCATGGAGGTCAACTGCGATGACGCATTGACAAAGCTCAAGGTCCTCTTTCAGGACTAACAACAAGTAAGATATATGATACCCAATGTAAAATCACCCTAGGTCGTTATGGCTATCCTTCATCTGTGTCCTACCTGAATTAGCTTTCTCTTGATCGAGGTTCCTTGCCCAGTTCTCCGCTGTTAAGGACTCAACATTGGAGGGTAGCGTACTGAGGTCATAACCTGCCCTATCGTAGAAGAGTGTCCTGACAAACATGTGGAGGTGTTTCTTCAGCCTTGATATAGGTAGCAAGGGATCCACCCGCACCCCTGAAGAGGACGGTAACGGGGTCACCTGTACAGTGTGTTGGCCCAGAAGACCTAGCGGCTAGAGACAAGTCCCTTGACGGTACAGATACCAGGGCCCAGGGCTGAAACGTTGGCGTCTTCCTCCCAAGGATTGTGCTTGCAGATTGTCATAGCAGCTCTCGCAGTCTGACATCCAACGTTCGCCCACCATTGACCATTGCCCTTCAGTCTTGTTGTCAATCCTAGGTTTTTGACAACTCCTACGTCTCTACTAACCACCCAGGTAGAGGCAGCGCAGGCACTTGGTGACACCAGTGACACTTCCCTTCGTAATGACGTCACCCTTCACCGGCTTACACGGCAGCCACGACTGCCGCGGGGAAACCGCCAGAATAATATTAATGAGAGCGGCTTGCGGCTTGCGGCCTTCGGGCTCCTAGTGTTTGAAGCTCGATCATCCGTATTTGATCCAAATGACAGCCACAATCTAAACTCAACTTCGACTTCGATGTTCTTCCCACTCCATCATTCCGTCTGCCTATCACTTGTACGGTTCCGAGTACCTTCGGAAACCCGATCAGACCTGACTCTACACGCGAGTTCCTAATCTCTTGCTGCCCCGCAGAGTCCCCGGCTCAGGCCACCAGCTGCCATGATTCGCCCAAGCCCTGATCCGTCAACAAGCTAGCTGCTCGGTACAAACCTCGAAGGTAAGCAGCGTGGCAGATTTCCAAATCCTGGCTTGATCCGGTGCCCCCTTGAACTCAAGGAGATTTTGGACAGCTTAGCTGCCAACATGGTCTACCATCTGCCGGTTCACCTCCTGTTGGAGCTGCTGCCAGCTTGTATCAAGACCCCCTCGCGTTCCCTGATCCCTCGCTAACACTAACATCAGATGCCACGCAACCAACTTGATCGCCTCCAACTCCAAAATACTCCTCGTCGTCTTCCCCAACTTTACGGAGATGTGGCATTGTGGGGAACGGAAGAATGGTGTCATTTGCACCGAGCTGCTGGACCACGTTGATGTATGAGGAACACCCAGAAGGGGATTTATCATGACTATTTTGGGACTCTCGATCCTATGTGGTGAACCCCACCTTCGTCAAAATGTGTTACCGACAGGTGATGTCCTTTCCCTTGGGGTAAAGGTGACCCACGAAACTGCCGTTGCTTGGAGAAACCTGGGGAAGCCACAGCGAGCTGTTTTGAGCAGACCCATCTAGACCTTTGCGGAGGCTGGCATAAAGACGGCAGCACGGTATCAACCCGCAGGACACTCCCCCTGGAAAGTTTTGATACTTTTGCAAGCTCTCAGAATGGGTGCAGGAAACAAGTACAATTTTCTTGTCGTCTTCTTTGTGACCTTCGGGTCTCTCACCTATGGCTACAATTCCGCAGTTATTGGAGCTGTCATTGGCCTACCATCCTTCTTCACGTACTTCAACATCGACATCAAATCAAGCGGTGGCTCCCGAATCACCGGAGGTGAGACTCTACACCGCAGAATGGAAGTTTTAGAATCTGTGATTGACTTGCTGTCGACAGCAACCAATGGACTCTTTGCAGGGGGTGGCTTCATTGGCTGCATTTTCATCACCTGGCTAGCTGATAAGGTGGGCCGGAAGAGATCCATACAGATCACCGCCTCTGTTTGTATCGTCGCCGGTGCCATTCAGGCTGGCTCTGTCCATATTGCCATGTTTCTGGTTGCTCGCTTCATGATGGGCTTCGGCGTTGGCATGGTCAATTCCATCACACCTCTCTATCAATCCGAAGTTTCCCCTGCCCACTCTCGTGGCCGAATGGTGGGCAGTCACGGGTTCATTCTTTGCGTCGGATATGTGAGCTTGTCCTCCGTTTTTCCGTCTAGCTACTTTCTCACGCTTGATTTAGGGATTAGCCGGATGGACAGGCTATGGCTGCTACTTCTTGGAGAACCAGGAAGCGCAGTGGCGTCTTTGCCTTGCACTACAAATCGTCCCACCACTCTGCCTTCTCGTGGGCTCTCCGTGGCTTCCTGAGTCCCCTCGTTACTTGGTTGCAAACGACATGCAAGAAAAAGGGTTTGAGGTCCTTAAAAGATTGCATCATCAACCCGAGGATGAGGACGACACTATTGCTCGAGAGGAGCTGTATCAAATCCGTCAGCAACTTGATCTCGAGAAACGCGAAGGCTGGAGACAAGGCTGGATCAAAGGCTGGATTCTCCTGTTTTCCAGGAAGTCTTACCGGAAGCGTTTGCTCTTTGGATTTCTCCTTCTGTGAGCCTTTACATTTATATCCTCGCTTCCAACTGCCGCCTTTGGAGTTGTGGCACTTGCTAACCCTCGCAGTGGCCTGGTTCAGAGCACAGGGTGCCTGGTCATCAACAATTATCAAGTCCTTCTTTACAACGGTCTCAGCCTCTACGGAGCGATGCCTCTCATGCTATACGCCCTTTGGGACACTTGGGCTGCCTTTATGAATTTCGTCAATAGTCTTCTTCTTGACAAGCTTGGCCGAATCCCGATCATGGTTGTCGGACAGGTATGATACATTGCCATCTCTGTGCGTAGCACATGCTAACTATTTAGATTGGATGCTCCATCTCTGTCGCTGGGTTTACTGCTTGTCTCGCAAGATACGGTGGTACCGACAACCGTGTGGGAAATGGGTTCGGCGTCTTCTTCCTCTACCTCTGTATGTCTTCCTCGATTGCGATCACGATCTCCAGACACTAACTCTCCAGTAGTCGTGACTTTCTTCGGTGGCTCAATGGATGCTTCATCCTACGTCTACTCTTCTGAGATCTTCCCGACTTCAATCCGTGCCCAAGGAACAGGGTTCAGTGTCTCGGGTTTGTTTGCTTTCAGCTTAATCTACACCATGTGTGCCCCAGTCGCGTTCAACAGCATTGGTTGGAAGTATTACCTGATCTTCATCATTGTGCCGCTGATTGGAGCTGCGATCATGGCACTGTTCTACCCCGAGACCAAAGGCCTTGCTCTGGAAGAAATTGGGCAAAAGTTCGGTGACGAGGTTGCCATTGATCTCACCCACCTCTCGGCTGAAGAGAGAGCCAGACTGGACAAGGCTCTAGTGCATTCAGAAGTTGTGGAAATGGAGATCAAGGCTTGAAAGTTGTACTGGGTGAATTTCTATCCCGTGAGGTGTAACGGGAAGCAGAGATCGTCGATTACTGCCCTGGATTGGCTCCTCGAGTGTCATCACCCACGAGCAGGGCGCGAAGCTAATGCTAGTCAAGGTGACAGTCTATCTCTATCGGGTATTAAGATTACTAGTAAATCAATAAACAACAATCCCGTGTCCAGTATCTGCTGTTTCACCATCTAGATCCAGTTTATTTCTCTGCCGTCGTCTCTCCTTTGCGCCGCAATCACCATTTGAACATGATCACGGGGTTCATCAATTCATCGTGGATGTTCTGGTGCCATCTTGGTCCGGTTGTACGACGGCCACTTCTTGTCATAAATGGTCTATTCTCTGAATTTGTAGTTCTAACTGCGACAGTGGTGGGGACCTCTGGCGCTTCTGCTCTTCTCAGGTCTCTTTTCCCGGTCCGGACGTCTTCGAACCTCGACAGGTGGGTGATATTGCCTATGGCAACAGGGGGAGGTGGGCTGTCGTTGTCAATGCAGCGCATTTTCTCCCTAGCACTCGCTGCGGACTGTCGAACTGTATCTCTGCTGTGTGTTTCGCTTCTATAGAACTGAGGTGGGGTCTCAGCCAACAGGCCTGAACTTCGATCTTGCTCTGATCTTCGCCCCATAGATGTAGAAGAGCACCGGCACTGGGAAGAAGAGCAGGCAAAGAAATGCCAGGAGCGAGGTTGCCCAGGGGACGCCGAGGTTGTGGTACATGGCCGGGGCGAACAGGGGGAAGCCAGCGCCAGCGATGGATCGCACAAAGGTGTTCACGGCGATGGCGCTGTTGGAGTAGAACCCATAGCAGTCAATGATGAAGTTTGTCCCTTGCCAGAAGGTCGACAGGCAGCCCATGCCTAGGAGGGCCGTGGCGAGGATCTGCGGGACCCAGGTGATGTTTGGATTAGACGTCCTAGCCATGGGTTAGTAAACGTACTGTTCATCCACCGTAAAACCTGCAGAAGTAGCCAGCTCGAAGAGGGGAGGGAGGGCGGCATTACCAGGCAAACAGGAACAAGCCAATTGGGAGTACGCCGGCTCCAATGATCATTGGCGGCAGTCTCTCCTCGGGAATGACCTTGCCGTGCTTCTTGAAGGCCTTTGTGAAATTTGTCCTTGTCGAGTAGGCAATCATACCAGTTCCCATTGCAATGCCGACAATAAAAGCGGCGAATGGGAGAGAGCCGACGCCAGGATTCCAACCTCGCTGTTCCTGGAACGAGATGGGATAGGCCTCGAAGAGGAGATATAGGATGCCGTAGATGAAGCTCATATAGGCGGTAATCAGGGCCAGGATCGGTTCCTGGACAAACATGACGAATGGGCGAACGAGGTATATAGTCGTCAATGTCTTGATGTTGACTCGACTCTCGTCCGCTTTGGCGTGTAGTGCCCAGTTTCGCGTTTCGTATCGCAGTCGCTTGGCTTTCATTTGGAGGATTCTCGCGGCCGAGGTTTCGGGGATCAGGACCAGGCCGATACATCCAAACAGTGCGGTCATGATCAAGGTAATCCAAGCGGTCCATCGCCAGCCAAGATGGGACTGAGTGACGAAGCCGCCAATGATAGGTCCGGCGACCGGTCCAGTGAAGGCAGAGGCTGCAAACACGCAAATCCCATACGC